ATCTTTAGGATTGCCAAAGGAAACAAGATATTTTTAGCCCATGTTGGACATGAATTTATCAGTAGCTTGGTTTTAAACAATTTGTTAATATTGTCATTCTTGTCTCTACTAAGGGCATATATATTTTTTATATTTTATTTATTTTATTCTATGTGTATGAGTGTATTGCCTGCATATACAAAAGTGCACCATGTCCTGAAATACTCGTGGAGATCAGAAAAGGGCATTGGATTTCCTGAAACTGGAGTTACGGATGGTTGTTAGCCACTGTGTTGGTAATCAAACCTGAGTCCTCTGCAAGAACAGCCAGTGTTCTTAACCACTGAGCCATCTCTCCAGCTCCTAAGGGTATATGTTTTAAAAGAAGAATAAAGTGACCAAACACAAATTAGTCTTGAGAATGTGACCAACATCACCAGACAGATTTGATTCATAAGCCATGAGCAACCATAGGTGTGTATCTCACCCAGATGGAGACCTGAACTGTATGAATGGAAACTTCCAGCTTCATGACTGCATCATTATTTAGAGCTTGTCTATCAGAATGCACGGTATTTTCTGAAGTACATATGACAATTCTAAGAGGTGAGTTGGTTCTATCTGAATTGTACTGAACACTAAGTGTCTACTCTCAGATTCCCTAGAAAAATGCCTTCCTTGATGATATTTCTTTGCGGAAGTTTTGCATTCTTTTTGATGCCTTGTTTAACAAGGACAACCTATGATAGTTCCCCAAACAATATCCTACAGAAAACATTCTCCTCATCTGTAAACCTAAAACAGTCACGTAAAGGAAATGATAAATGATATTGTCTTTGGCTTCCATTGGTGAAAGCCTGTTTGTGCCTGATACCTCTTTTTGCTTAGAAGTTTTCACAAACATCGGCTTTAAAATCTGATCCAGTTTTGCTGAGCACCAGTGTTCAACACTGTTAAATCCTCCCTTTTCCTATTTTTTCCCCTCATTCTCAGGAGGTAATATTCCTCTTCACTCTCCAGGGAAAATGGATGCCAAAAGACAAAAATTACATGTCTTCCTAATACTAAAAAGATGGTCCAGCTAAGTGACCCCTGCCCCTACTGTCCTGCAGTAACTGAGTACTTGTTACCTTTTCTCTCTAAAGCTAATTCCTACATCTGTTGTTAAATCTACCACCCTTTTATGAAGTGAACACAGTTAAGCACTTTGGGTTTTGTTTTAGTTTGTTTGTGACAGAGTCTCCCTGTAGCCCCAGTTGGCTTGGAACTCCCTATGTAGACAAGGCTGGCCTAGATCTCACAAAGATCTGCCTCCCAAATGCCAGGATTAAAGGTGTGGGCCACCACGCCTGATTTCCAGTTGGGTATTTTGAATTTTTTCAAATACTCAGATTATTCGCACTAGCTTAAATGAACCTAGGTCTCTACTACTTAAAAGAAACATAAAAGAAAATCTCAAATTTAAGATCAATTAACATTTTACCTTTCTTGTCTTCTTCTCAACTGAGCTCCGAAAATACACCATCCATTCCTATATATGATGTAAGAATTTCTATGGGGACTCACAATAATGTTTACCATTGCCTCTGTTCCATAAAAACACACTATCCTATCCTACCATGAACTATACAATTTTTCATAAAATTGTACTAACATTGGTGCTTATCTATTTTTCCATTGCATGTTTTGAGGAAAAAAAAACTTAAGTGGATAGCATACATATATACTTTAGGTGCCTTCTTTTCTAGCAGATTTTAAATTTCATGAGGTTCAACTGGATACCTCTTAGACTCTGATACGAATGACTGACCATTCTCCAATCTTTGTTAGACTCCATGAGGTCATACTACCTTTTGTCACCACTTCAAGAATATATCATTCCTGCACTACGATGACTTTATATTCATCACTACAAATATGTTCGCAGATACTCTTTCTTATAAGTTCTTGCTGAGTTGTGAATCTCTCTTTCTGCTCTGGTCTGTTCTGTGTCACGCACACCTATTCTTCACAACTTCTTTTTTCTTTGTAATTTTAGTTTTGAGCTCTGATCATGCTGAGATGTTTACTTTTCAAAGTGATGCATTTCTATGCAGAGAGGATCTGAGGAATAGCCCACAGACTCTTCATTTCTATATTCAGGGCTTAAAAATATTCATGGATACACTCCATATATTTCCCAGCTTCTGTCAGTCACTCCTGCATGTGATGTAAGTGAACACCCACCGGGTGTGCAAAGCAATATTTTCATCCTACCTCAGAGACCTGCTACAGGAAAACACACCATTAAATGTATCTGTTCCGATGTGACCATACAATGTAATAGTCATTTCTGTAGCATGAAATACACTGATTTGCAAGGTCAAGTTGGCTAACTACAGTCCCTGTACCTATCATGTAAAGTCCTCATGTATGTGGTCGTATCTGGCTCCCTCTCCCTCAGCAGCACTGAATGGACTCTACTTGTACTTTATAAAATGAGAGTTGCTACTTCTTTGGGGAGCCTGCTGCCATGGGAAACCCCATAAAAACCATAGGTTCTATAAACCCCCTCTCTACCTCCTTCAGGTCACAGCCTTCCTCTCACAGACGTGAAGAGGAATTTTTAAAGTTCTGCCGTGCCTTCTTCGTCTTGACATTGTATACCCCCCCTTTTTTTTCTTTCCCGATTCTCCATATTTTTCCAGTTATGCTGTGAAGTGGGCAGTAGGAGAGTGAGGTTATTTCCCAGGCACTTCCTCACCTCCCATTTCCCTGCTGGATGGCCCTGTCCCTCTACAGAGGTCACAGCATCTGATGGGCAACTTCCTCTCCCTCTGGGTATAGCAAAATTCCTTGGTAACTTTAGCCCCAGTTGCACAAAGCCACCTCTTGTTGCGTTCACTGACTTTCTCACATATTTTTGGATAGGGATTTTTTTTTTTTAAAACTAAATCAATTTCAGTGACTACACTTGAATGAAACACCTGTTTCTTGTTGGAACCTGTTCTGACTCAGTGGGTTATTTTCTTTCTTCCTGCTTGGGAACCTTTTAACATGATAACTTTAGGGAACTAATACTCAAACATTTCCTTTTTCTTCTCTTGTGTTTATATCACAAGTAGCTGGTGAGATCTCAGGCACCATGATATACATGGTCGTTAGCATCTCTAGTCTACACTGCTAAATGCTATAATAAGTACAACATTGTGGTTTTATGTAGAAATTTACTAGTAATTAACACTGGGAAATTTCAAATAACTTTTATAAGCTTTTGCTGAGTCTGCTTTAGTGTCAATGTTAATTAAGAATTAAAATAAACATGGAGTTATAATTATGGGAATTAGAGTGACAAAATTGTGTATCAAATTTCATATGAGATAGAACTCAAAATATAATTTTCTAAATGGTATTAATTACTGGAACAAGGATTTACTTTAGTTTACAGAAAAATGAGTTGATTTGACAATACAACATAGAAATAATCCATTTTTCCTTCTTTTGACTTGATTCTGTCAATCATTCCAGGCATTCTGTGTCCACATACGTGAATGTGAGTACATGCCACACACACAGAGATCCATGACGAATTCTGGGAACTCTTGATATAAACTACAAGAGTCATTTTGGTAAGACAATCCTTTGTGAAAGAGAATAACCATAAGATAGCTATATCTATATATGTATATTACTGAGGCAATTCTATCCGTGAAAACAAAACCTGATTTCAATTTATTATTGGATAATAGCATTAGTTATCACACTCTGCTCTTACACAATGTGTACATATGTGCATGTTCATTTAATCAACAAGAGTATCTGGTTTGAAAATATGATTTCAGTTATGATGAATAATACACTTGAGGATAGGGTGAAATAGATTCACTGAACAATTGCTTTCTCCCATGTCAAAATTTAAAATAATATTAAAATGACCTGAGAGTCTCAAATGTTTATTATTTAGAAGATATTATGCTAAGAACATATACTTCTTATACAAATAGCTCAAATACAAATAATTCATAAATGCATACTGGTTGGTTCATATTTATTATGAATCTATCAAACATTGGCAATTTATAAATAAAGTAGCATTATAAAGAACTAGGAAAATAATACTTTATCCTTTTAGAAAAATTTAGACACTAAGAATTGCAGTACAGTTATAGTTTATAGCTACACTTATTTGTAAATTTCATTAATTTTTTTCATTATACAATTTTTAGGTTTTCTAATAAACAAAACAGTTTCCAATTTTGGCATAAAAGGATCATATGTACCAATTGTGTATTTTAAAGCACAGTAATTAACCGAACAGCAAATAACATTAACGTTTATGAATGCAACAGTAGCTAAAGTCAATTTAAGAAAGACTTATAAATTTTAAAACATTTGAATATAAAATGTCTATGATACCTTGATTATTTCTTCAGTCCCAATTAATTCAGGAAATAGGTCAAGTCCTACAAAGTTAAAAACAAAATTGTTAACAGTTTTAATTCAACTCTTTCATCCTTGTTGGCTTATCTTTGGATGGAAAGAGGGAAAATTAAATCACTAACTTCGAAAATACAAAATTCATCAAAGAAAAATTTCAAATTCTAGTTTTTAACTATTGACCACCCATGTCACAGCACTGTACAAACTGAGAAATAACAGGATTCAAAGTACTGATTTCCCCCTCAAATTCTGTTCCCCAAACCCACCCCGATTCTCACCAAAGCTGAGGAGAAAAGAGGACACTAGAGTGAGGAAAGGAAATGTCATAGTAGCTTGATTTCCCATCTGTGTAATCCCTTCATCCTACAGGTTAACGGAAGCAGAGTTGAGGAATGGCAGGCATGTTCTGGAGACTTGGGTGGGTTCATTTTCTGATTTGGCTAATCTTTCCTGAAGTTCTTCTGACTGAGGCCAAGTCATTGTTTCTTGCCCTTCAGATTTGGATGTGTACTTAACTGTATACAGGGTGAGGCACCAGATAAGATGGAGAGTATTTTCTAGCCAGCTCTGGCCCAGGCTGACAGCAGGGAGGACTAAGGGCAAAATTCCTATGCATTTTGCCCAGGGAAATTCAGCTAATGCCATTTGTGCTGCTGTAGAGAATTCAGTAACCATATTCATTGAAGTGTGTTTGTTTTTCTAAATAACCAGAATCAACATATTTCTACTACTGTTAAAATGAGGCTTGTTAGCAAATGCTAGAACGGCCTGAGTGCTGAGAGGTGTAGCTCAGTGGTTGAGCACTTGCCTAAAGAAAGATTCAGAGCCGGTTCTTCCTGTCCAATAAGGAATTCAGCACACTGAAAAATTTCTGGGAGCCACTGGGTATTTCTCGGTTTGCACCTGACTGCCTGGGTTACTAGGAAGATGATAAGCACAGTAGTAGTGAGGGCTTGGACACTGTCATATGAAGTTTTCACTGTATGTAGGCTTACTCTCTGCTCCATCTTTATGTGGCCTATGCTTCACATTTTAAGTCTTTACATAGACTCAGAGTAAATGAATATTCTAAAGAAAGTTCATAGAATAACTTAACTGATGTTAAATATCATATTCAGGCATTTGTCCCCCAATACAGACCATTATAAATATGGTTTTATCATCAGGAACTTCCTAAGTATTAACAAAAGTAAAAGCAAAAACACAGTTTTGTGCATGAACTCTATCTGATAGAGGATTTACCTGAAGTCTGTAAATGTACCTGGTTCCTAAGACGATTTAAAGTTAATACTCTTGACAGCCTAGCTATTTCAAAGTTACTTTCCCTGACCAATTTTCTGTGCTATAAAAGTGAAGATTCTTACTAGATATACTCCTAGTCTTAAATTAAACTCTCCATTTTTATCCTTATTAAAATTGACTGTGAAAGAGTTGGAAATTTTTATTTTGGATCACTACTGTTTTCCTTGTTCTGTTCTTTCCCCACGTAACCCTTTCCTTGCTCCTGATTTTTATGCTCTTTATTCTTCATGTTTCCAAGCTAAAGTGATGTCAATCGTCTCAAACACCAGAGTCTTGCAACCTTCAGGAAATCTAATATATGGGAATTTACCAATGAGGTAAAAATCAACTGTGACAGGAATTACCTTCATTTTAACCTTCTGAAGGTACAGCCTAAGAATTCATATGTACAGAAATCTTAAAATTCAGTACATGAAACACTACCTGGATCTTCCCAGAAACTATTGCTTTTCATTTGAACCATTGTAATGATAACAAGGACAAATCATAACTAAATACTTCTTGGATATATATATAGATAGATAGATAGATAGATAGATAGATATAGATATAGATATATACTGCTATACATATTTTTTGCCTTTAAGAAGAAAACCTCAAAAATTCTATATTCCTTAAGAAAAAAAAAAAAAAAAAAGGCAGGGCAAGGGGCTGGCTTGCTTGCAAAGGAACCAGGTGGGGTTCCCAGCACCCACATGGTGCTTAACAACCATCTGTAACTCCAGTTCCAGGAAATCCAATGCCACTTTCTGGCCTCCATGGGCATTGCACACACATGGGGAACTTACATATATGCAGGCAATACACTCATGCACATAAAATCAAAATAAAAAGCAATTTTATATTCCTTTCAGTATACATCAGATGCTTCAGATTTTTAAATGTTTAACTTTATCTGATTATGTACTTTAATGGAAAGAAATACAATTTTCTTATTTATTTGACACAGCTGGGATGGGGGGTTCATTTCCTTTCATTTCAGTATTCTCGATGTGTATTGCACTTCATATAGTTTTACCATTTACTAAGGAGCACAAGTTAACTCTATGGATCATGGTTCCTTCAAAGTAAAATGTAGTATACTAATCCAACCACACAGCCCCAAAGAATATCAGTGACTTCTGTTGTACTTGAGTTTGTTCTTTCCTGCAGCAAGAGACCCTCTTAGGTTTCTGGAGCAGACTGTGTGGTCCCATGGCAAGCATTTGGGTGCCGACCTCAAAAGCAGATGTCGTCATAGTCCCAAGTATGAGCGAAGAATCTGCACTCTGGTTTCCAACTGGATGTAGATAATTTGAATTGACTGAAATTCTGGGGTTTCATCATACAGTAATTTTGGAAGATTGCTCTGTTTCCTTTAAAGATTCTGAAGTCATTCTTTTGGGTCTGAGGGTTCGAAACCCCAGCACCCAAGGTAGAACTGAATGACAACAGGACAAATATTGGGATCCCCTGGGATAGGGGTTTCTTCAAAAATAATAGTTGATATTTTAGTAGTAACTGCTGGTTGACTTGGGTATTATACATAAAAGAGTTTACAAATTATACAGGTGTATAGAGTATTCTCACATAACCAAATAGGCTTCAAGAAGGCAGAGAAAGTTATGTCTGATAGTGAATACTATGAGGGTCAAGGTTTTCTTCCTAAGTGAATCCTTGAAATTTACATTTGTGTCATAAATGAACAAAAGCAGATGACATACTCTGTTTTTGAGCACAAGTAAGGCTATATATATATATTTTTAAAGTAACACCTTAGTAGAATGTTAAGATTCCATAGTACAAAAAAGCAATACTTTTATAAGTGGGCAGCAAAGCTTATTTTTTCTGAAGGTAAGCCAAGCTTCACAGTGAAAAATGTAAAATTAATGTCAATGCTAATTGCTTCAAAATTTAAATATCATTATTTAATAACATCAGTAGCACAGGATGTTGCAGGAAGGACAAGGACAGACACACAGTGATCTAACAAGACACTTGGACACAACTGAACAGCACACAGTGGTTGGATTAAGAAGTGTGGATTTATTTTGTCATGCATTTATATTTAACACAGACTTATCAAAGCCCTAAGACATATATGTTAATAATGGCCTCTAAACTGCATAATCTACATTATAGAAGAGAAATGCACACAATTATGTTAGTTACAGTGAAATAAATGTATTCATGAATTACTCACCCATGAATATAATTTTCTAAAATGTCTCTTAAAAGTATATATTTCTTCTTGCCAGGCATAATGGCGCATGCCTTTAATCCCAGCACTCGGGAGGCAGAGACAGGCGGATCTCTGTAAGTTCAAGACCAGCTTGATCTACATAGTGAATTCCAGGCCAGCTGGGGCTACAGGGAGACCCTGTTTCAAAAAGACCAATTAAAAAAAAAAAAAAAAAAAGGGGGACCCTTTAAAAAAAACAAAAAAAAAAAAAAAAAAAGTATGTATTTCTTCTTAAAAAAAGGTGTCCTTGAGAATTTTAAATTATTTTCTTAATATGAATTTATGCACGCAATTTAAAATAACTTGAAATAATGCTTCAATACTATAATACTAATGGGTATTAGTTTATATTAATATTGTACATAGTAAGAAGCAAAATTAAGATGCACAAATGATAAAGTAGTGCAATTACCAATTTAAATGAACAATTCAATCAAATTAGCAAGTTAAATAAACAATTTGGAAGACTGAATATTCCTCAAATATTGAGTGGAATACTTGAAATCTATGAAAGAATGAGGGCAATTATAAATTGCCTTCTTCGTTTCATTTTAGCAAAAGCAATAAACAATAGAGTATTTAGAGAACAGCTTATTTTAAATAATAATAGAATAATTCAATGGCATATATTACAGTGTTACCAAGAAAATGGAGCAACATAATTAACAGAATGGAATGCTACAAATAAAAGCTGTAAAATATTCACCAAACTGACAGGTTCCTAATTAGCCATACAAACCATACAATTCACTAATTACATAGGTATCAAATCTGTTTATCCAAACCAGAAGTAATATGGGTATCCAAGCTTTTACTATGACATGTTTACTATAAAAGCAATATGTAAGTAAATAATAATTAATGGGAATTGTAAGTAAATGAATAATTAATATGTAAATAAATGAATAATTAATGTGAGTTGTAAATAAATTAAAATGCAGCTTTTACAATTGGAAAAAAAGTTATAAGAAGACTAAGATTTTCTTTATAACTAATAGGAAAATTCCAAATTTTGAGGTAATTGGTTCTTGAAAGATATATTTTTAAAGATGGGACTAGTGAGGGGATAGTCTACCGACTATGTTTGCAAGTTTGGTTCTTATCAAGTCAAACACCATCACATACTAAAGCATCATTACTGTACAAAACACTTTGGAGGACTAAGACATTCATGAAGACTAAATGTAGGTCCAACCTAGTATCCCATCAAAACAGTGTTCAACAATGTCCCGAACCTTGAATAAACAGAAATTAAATTTTAATATTTTTTGTTCAAATAAGAAAATACAATTATTTTAAAATATGACACTATAAGCTCATTAAAAAATGACAGAATGTATGAAATCCAGTTGGGGAGTGTTATGGGAGGGTGTGGATGTGGGAGCGAGTATGTAAGATGCTTTGTATGAAAGACACAAAAATTCAATAAAATATACACAAAAGGAAATATGTTAATACAGACCAAAAACACACTCAGAAATAAGTTTTTCAGAAAACAACCATTTAATCTGTCTTTTTCATATGCAATAAGCTTCTCAAAAATGAAAAAAAACTAAAAGTTTTCAGAAAGTTGAAATTTGGGGCATAATGGCCAGAGTAGGGCAATAAAGAGCAAACAGTTTGCTTTTTGTAAACACCTTGGAATTTGTGTTAAGTACAGAAATTGGAGCAACAGAATTAAACCAAAATATTAATCAAATATGTTCAATATAATTAATATTAAAAATGCATTAATGAGAGTGGGGAGCTTTTAAAATGTATTTTGATTTTTCACATATGTGCCTGCAGGTGTTGTCCCACCATGGATGCCATTTTCTGGATGAACCCCCGTGGGAAACTTTCGGGAGAGATGCTCTTCCATGGAGCAGCATGACCCTGCTAGAACCATATCAGTTACTTTCCACAATATCTAAAGTTGACATTCCACTTAAAAACAACCTAATTTTGAAAATGGTCATATCCAGGCTGTGAGGGATAACATTCAAAAACAACAGGGCCATCACAGCAACATACGTCACCAGCTGTCAGGGGAAGGCAGCTTTTTACAAATTTTGTAGTGTTTGGTTGAGAAAGGTACATATTATGTACCTTTGGTATTTAATGGTCTCACATACATTCTTTATCTTTAAAAGCCAGCTAGTTAGAATAATTATGCAAGGCAATCAGTGAACAAGAGCTTTATGTGAACTCATGTTGGATTAAACTTCCTGTGATAATATTCAGGCAGCAAAATCAAAGAATTTCACACCAGTTTTCCTTCTGTGCATAAAACAGTTATGTGGTAACTAATGTAACTCATAACTACTCATTATAATAAAACCTTAGAAACACTACAATGACTTGAATCATGATAGAGATGACCAAAGAATATTTATGTTCACACGCATTTATGTGAATAGGCACATTATGATGCATACACATACATACATGTATACACACACTGAAATTCTAATACTTGAAAACTTTTAGTGATAAAAGGAAGCTACTGAAATTGTCAAATAATATTTATCCCTTGCTTTGTTTATTGCATATGTTTGAGATCAAATGGCATTCCCATCACACTTTAAAAAGATGCATGCAAATAAACACAATCACAAACAACGTTCCCTTATTTTGTTTCTGTGAAGATAGGACTGGCATACTAACAAAGAGAAAAGCATCCCCGGGCCAAATTTTTTAACAGTGGAAAACTTTTCTAGATTAACTTTGAGATGCTTTGGATATATTTTTCAAAATACCTGACATGATCTTAGGACATGTGTATACTTACTACAAAATGCTTTGGGGGCTGAAAAAGGAAATAAATACCAATGAAACCAATTCTTCAACAAGTCTAAAAAAGTTTCAATATTCATTTATCAATTTCAATTAGATGATTTTTGCAAACACAATTAGATTTTGTTTTTCTTTTTCTTTTTTTTTTTTTTACAAATGAAAACATCTGTATTAATAATAAATTCATGGTTTATCCTTTACAGGGTTTGCTAAAAAGAAAGAGTGCCAAGCCTCATAATAGTACCTGGGAATCCAGACTTAAGAGAAAATTATGTTTCCCTTTGGCTAAAAGAATACAAAATTGGTTACATTTTTAACTTTTGAAGAAATCTCCAGAGTTATTGCCATAGTAGTTACATCAATTTACACTCCCACCAACAGTGAATAAAGGCTCTTTCCCCACATTCTCAACAGCATTTGTTTTCTTGGTGAGTCTGTGGTAAGATGGCATCTCAAAAGCAGCTTTAATTTGTATTTCCCTGATGGCTAAGGATGTTGAACATTTATTAAAACATTTATTGGGCTGGATATGGTGGTGCTTGACTTCATCTCCAATACTTGGAAGGTAGAGGCACAGCCTTGTCTACATAGCAAGTTCCAGGCCAGATGGGGCTACAGGGAGATCTTGTCTCAAAAACAGCAACCACAACAACAACAACAACAACAACAACAACAACAACAATGACAACAACCATTTATTGGCCATTTGTGTTTCTTCTTTTGAGAATTGTCTTTTTTATTATACACACATCCATATTTACTGCTGCACCATTCAAACTAACAGCTAATGTAACCAGCCTAGATGTTCATCAATGAATAAATGGATGAAGAAAATGTGGTATGCATATATAATGGAATTGTATTCAGCCACAGATAAAAACAAAATCATGTTATCTGCAGGAAAATTGATGGAACTGGAAATTATTGCTTTAAACTAAGTAACCCAGACCCTGAAAGACAAATACTATGTGTTTTCTCTTATCTGTGGATCCTAGATTTTACTTTTTATATATGTGTATATGTGTGTGTAGGAGAGTGGGTATAATTCATAAAACTAGAAATGGGAGAGGGGGCCACGAGGTTTTAAGTGTGTGGAGGGAGTAGAATACATGTGACAGGAAAACAGAAGAGTGGCTACTGGTGGGAGGGGGGACCAGTGGAAGGAGAGTAGAGGTGTAAGGGAGGGGGGTGGGGAAAGAGGATCAACAAAAACAATGTGCTAAAATCTAAAAAGAAACCCATTATGCTAAATGATATACTTTTAAAAAACCCTAAAAGCAAAGTTAGAAGAAATGATTCATGCAGTCAGCAATTAACGTGGCCTCACTTATTTAGAACATGGGAAGGCATAGTAGGGAGGCACTCACCAGCAACATCAGTAGGCATGTCGACTACCAGTTGGTCACTATATTTCCCATATAAGCCATTAGTGCAGATGGCCACTATTTGAAGAACATAACTCATATTAGGTAGTAAATTATTGAGAATAGCACCCTAGAAGAAAGATGTTGTAAATTACACCAAACGTTATTCTCAGAAAACTAACACATTCCATTGTTGTCCTATAAAACTTTTCTTCATTTTTCAATGAAAAATATTCATTTTTGATCAACCAAAGGAAAGCTAATTATGTGTTCTTTAAGTTCCAGTGGGCTTTTATTGAGATAAATAAACAAAAATTGAAGATTTTACCAACCATCTTTTCTTAATATTATAAACTCAGTATAGACTCTGATCCACAGACATGTACATACAACATAACACATCCCAATAAACTAGAGCCCTATGGGAACATTTTCCAAGTGTTTAAAGTTGAATGAATGATATTTATGAATTAAGAAGTTATTGGGAAATCAGATATCTGTTGGCCTTTTTTAAGACTTAGTTTTATAAAGTTTCACTTTTAACTAGAAGTTACCAAATTGATAAATGACTACCATAAGCTGAAAGATTTTACTTTTGACAAACATGTAGCAATTTCATATAATGCACATAATGTAAAAAACAATGAAAATTTAGTAATTTTCTTTAACCTCTCTCTTTTTCTGTCTCTCTCTCTCTGTGTTATTATGAAAGAAAAATATTTGTTCACACATTCCACAATTTTCCTATATCAGTATCTCTATAATCTAGACAAATAATAGTTAAAATTTTTATCTATTGTGTCCATATGCTATTATACCTACTAAAAATGACAGGTTTATTTAACCAGGTTCCCAGGACTTATAGCTTAGCTATCTGAATGTAAAGTTCAGTGACTTTTCACCTACAGTGGTGTCTTCCTGCAACTGCATCCAGATGAGGGTTTACGAACCCACTGGTATCTGGGCGACCCTTCCCTACCAAATCAAAGTCTAATACTATGATTCTCAAGTCACAGAAGGAATCTATGCTGAATGCCCTATAATTCATGTCCATGGGGAGGGGAAGTTTTTTGTTCTGACCTAGTTATCGCTTCACATTTGTTACCTAGAAATCTGATGCAAAGCAAAGGGCTTTTTAAGTCCTCTACCTCATTTTTTCTGTGATAAAGTGAAGAATACAGCATGTTTAACACAAATTGTGAGGACAATTATTTCCACAATTGTGAGATTATAATTGGGGTGTTCACCTGCTCTTTAAGACACTTTATTTACAAAGGAGAGGTGCTCTAAAATGGCCAGTTCCTAAGTTTTCTATGTTTCTACCCTTTGTAATGTTATTCACACAATCATGGTCTTCTTGTAAGTCAGTCTATCTACTGATATAATTTAGTACACCTTCTGCTCCCCAGGGGCATTTTCATACAAAATCTAAAGTAACCAAAGGTAAAAGTACATAACCATTTTTAAGATCTTACCTTGGAAATCAAACAATCATGCTATCATACATAAAGTAAGTCATCTTATAGTTACCAAGTCTTGATAGCCATCTGTTAAAAATTCACGCTTGGTTTGGTCTTCTCCCTCCAGCTGCTGGTACAGAACTGCAAACTTCTCAATCATGGTGTCATAAACGACTCGAGGTCTTTCCCACGTCACAAGAAGGCTGGTATAGTTTTCAGGGTCGGCCTGCACATTTTCCGGTTCTGAACTACACACTTCAGAGGGAAAAAAGTAAGTTATTAGTACCACTGTTAGCCTTCAGGACTTGAATTAAGTAAAACATATTCTGTAAAACTTTTTGTTGCAATTTATTTAAATAGGAGAAAATGAATTATACTTTTGCATCATGAAACTTCTACATATGCTGATTTTTCTACCTAAAATTATACTAGTTTTTAATTGTTACAACTAAATACCTGAAGGAGTTCTTTTCAAAAGTAAATTTACCCTGGCTCAGTTCTGGAGGGTAGAAATGCAAACCACACAGTCTCTTGAGGGTCGGCTGTGCTAGGGTGAATTGTGATAGGAGTATGTGGATACGTCACTGTCTGTGTGGTCTCTTCCATCGCCCTCATAAAGCTACTAGGGTTCAAGCAGAGGTTTAGCCAAATCCCACCTAATCACTTCCCAAAGGCCCTACTTCTAAACACTATACTCTAATTAATTTTTCTCCTTTCAATACTATTAAAATATAAGAACCATAACCCTTTGGTATTTTTCTCTTCCTTTTTTTCCTGTGCTACTGACTAGAACACGATTTTGAATGACATGCAAATTCATTTTTAGAATTCATATTCATTAACAGAATAAATGAATAAAGAGTATCTTCATGCTTGTAGTGTTTTTATTTGTCTTGTTTGGGACCTGACAAATGTAATTACTTCAAATTTTAATAATAAAAAATGATCTATTAGTGGACATTTTTGCTGCAAGAGAAACTTTCAGAATTCCTAACCCAAGAAAGCTACATAGTGACTAAAACTATCACTTCAGTATTTTTAATAACTGATGGCAAGAATCCCACTTTGGCATCATTAGCAGATTAAATAAATAATTTCAAGGAATTAGAATACTTGTCCCATCTGAAAAAAGATAATTTAAGACCATGCTGAGAACTGGGCCAAAAATTTAGTCCCATCACAGAGTCTTGAAACTTTGAAGAATATACACACATGTGATCATTTGGTCTAATGTGGAAATATTGCAGTGTTTTATCATGTTATGTTAATTTAATCTATTCATAGGGGACGTAGATTTACAAACCAAAGGGAGAGAAAAAATTCTCAGGACAAAGATTAATTAACAGTCTCCCAGAACCTGAGCATGGCTTTCAAGGGCTAGATAAAGTTACAAATCTGCTTCATGAAAGAGAGTATTTAGAACAACCACTCCTCGTGGGTAAGAAGCCTACAACAGCTGAATCTGAATGTCACCAAAAGCCTTTTTCCTTTTTTTTTCTGTCTTTGTCGCTTACAATTTGTAGTTCATCTCACAAACAGTGGAGGGCACCTACGACCAATTCACTATACGTGCCGCAGTATTTATTATCAGCAATTTTCACAGAGGAACTCTGGTGGTTGCAATGGTGTATTAATTATTCATAAACTCTAAACACATGCTTTAAATAAATACAAGGAAAATTTTATGTGAGTTAGAAATAGGAATTTTTTATACTGCAAACTGGTGATGCTATTTTTTGTTTTGTTTAGGGGTGTTCCTCTGAGAAAAAGAAGCCAAACTTTCACTGAAAAAAATCGTGAATTCAGACTAAGAATAATGTCTTCTAAGTTAAGTTTAGATTCCACCTTGTTATGCTACTGAGACTCCCGTTATTTTCCACTAGATGGCAGAAGATGGTCAAACCACCCACAAATGAGTTCCTCACATAAAATACCATTGTAAAACCAAGATTACTTCATTCTTCCTTCTAATTAAGTCCACTTTTAGAAAGCGGAAGGTGATTCCTGATACTATAATTTATAGATTTTGTCATCCTAAAATCAACCCGTTTTTGCAGAGAATGGGAATGATTTAAAGTGAATTATATTCCTTAAGATGAAAACATTTTAAAATTTATTAGTTAAAAGCATGCACGCAAAACAAAAATATCTTGAGAAAATATAAAATATTAGTTAATAAATGCACAAAGAAGTCTGTAACTAGGATGAGCTACTCTGGCTAAATCTCTGTATTTGTCTTGTCTTACTAGTAGCAAACAGAAGATATTTTAAAGTTTAATAGTCTGAGTTAAAAAAGTAGAACTTTCCAAAGAAAGTCATATTTCTTTGCCAGCTGGTATTAATTTCCTAGTTGTCTTACCTAAAGTCTTTAAGAGCTTATAAGTCTTTAAGTGTTTATTTTAATCATTTTAATAATTTGTGTTTATATTTTATTTTATTTTACTTTTTTTTGACAGGGACTCCAGTAGGCCCAGCCTGCCTGGAATTCACTATGTAGAGCAGACTGGCCTGGATCTCACAGAGATCTGCTTGCCTCTGTGTCCCAATTTCTGGGATTAGAGGTGTGTGTCACCATGCCCAGAGTGAGCTTATATTTTAATCAGAACATTATTTTAAAAACATTCCTTTCATTAACTGACAATCTATAGCTTAGTGATATGATAAATCTTCAGTTGTCTTATTTTTTTAATTGCTGAAATACAGGTAATATAATGGATTTTAGACTGTGTTCAAGAGAAAAGCCTATTCTTCCATTTAGAGTCTGTGATCTTGCCAAAGCATTGATCTTTTAAATGATCTAGTTAATTCCATAGGTACTATTTGGAGTTTAGTCATGAAGTTAAACAATGACCATAGAAAAAATGTTTAACGTGCACAAATATTTTGTTTCCCTTATTCTTTCCATTGAAATTAATTAATTAATGAATTATTTTAGTTATGTGTGTCCGTGTGTGGATATGTGCACCCTGAGTGCAGGCACCTGGAGTCCAGAAGACAGTGTGGGTCCCCTGGAGCTGGAATTACAGGATTTTGAGAGCAACCTATGCGGGTGCTGGGAACTGAATATGGACCTCCACATTCATAGCTGTAGGTGCTCTTAACAGTTGAGCCGTCTCTCTAGCCCCTGAAATTTGTCTAGCTACCTTATTAGAAGAATAAAAACTGTGCTAAACCAATTATTTGTACTAGAAATCAAGATGGTTTTTCCAGATCAGTATGTATTTAGGTTTCAGATACATCTTAGCGAAAAAAATAAAATAGTAATAAAAATACAATCTCTGTGTGGGTCTCATCAGCTTTACTGAAAGTATGTCTTACTTTGCAATTCATTTCTACAAGCTACACACAGTTTGGTCATTGCTACTCATTCTTTGAGCAATACTGGTGGAGGAGGGGAACCCGGTTCCTGCAGAAGAACATGGAGTCCTGAAAAGGGCTCCAGTATCATACATAAGTGAAGGATCTTGCTACAAGATATCTTTACATATTTTCAATTAAAAACATTTCCTGCCTTCCACCCTGCTTGGTTCTGGTGACTCTTGACAGGAAGGTCCAGGTGTTGTTCCTGCCTGTAGGAAGCTCAATCCTAGGACAGCTTTCTAACCCTGACATTTAGTGAACTCTAAGTGATTTCAGTTTCTAAATTCTAGGCTTCATTCATAGGGGAATGCACAATAAACTGGAACCCAAAACACTCCTACCAAATCCGGTTTTGCTTATCAAAAATCCAATACATTTTCCACTTAAAGTTATAAAGTACCTTAGATATTTATCTAACACTGTTGTGGTTAGATATTTGGCCTTGTTTCATATGGAGAACATCTACTACATAGAAATGCACATGCCTTAGGGAAAAAGGACCAGAAGATTAAATAAGCAAAGGACATATCTTGAAAGAAAAAGGAAAAAAGCACAGAATAAGAAAACGAAAGGAGAAAAAGAATGGAGGAGAAATACAAATGAATTACTTGGCTGTCACAAATCTCTGTAAATCAAGAAAGTTGATGCAGGGGGCCCAACTGGTCAGAGACCTACCCTAAAATAAGTGCAGGCAGCCTTGAGGAAGGAGGTACAGTCTGATTTACACTGATTTATAGCTAGAAGTGTGGAAGAATAGGGACAGACAAGGAGGTGATTTCAGGGGGATTTCAGGAGCTGACAGGACACAAGGTTTGACTCAGCTATTATTCACTAATTTGGAGTTCAATAATTTGTGTGAGTTTAACACAGTTCATGACAAAAATGCTTTGTGAATGCTTACTCCCAAACCAATCATAATCTTCTGTGAGGCTCATGAGTGTCATTAAGAAACAGACTAAAGTATATACTTTTATTTATTTATTTGGTTGTTTGTTGATTTGTTTTGTTTTGGACAGGGTCTCCCTAGTCACAGCCACCTGTAAACCACGTGAATTAGGGTGACCTCAATCTTGCAGCGATACACCTACCTCTGCCTCCTGAGGGCTGGGATTAAAGGCCCATGCCACCATATATATATATAGAGAGAGAGAGAGAGAGAATGTGTGCATGTGCGTGTGTGTGTTTGTGTGTGTGTGTGTGCATGTGCCATAGCATGCAAGAGGAAATCAAAGGAAAACTTGCAAGAGTCAGTTCTCTCCTTCCACCATGTGGGCTCTGGGGATGGAACTCAGGTTGTTAGGTTTGTCAACAACCACCTTTACTGGCTGACCCATCTTGCTGGCCTTGAGACAGGTACTTCGATGACTGTAATGAGAACATTTAAAGACTTATGGCCCCAGAAGATAATCAAAAAAATTATGATTTTTCCTATGTATGCCTGCTTTGTACTACTGATGTACTACATACATTAATAGTTTAAATAAATTCTCAAATGTCTTTCAAATTCTGCCTACTTTGTACTCTTCTCCAGGGACAGGGAACAACTTCTTCAATAGTTCATAATAATCTTCCAGGAAGTAAATAATCTTTATTTAATTTTCCTAAATATAATTGGAGCTAGAATTACCTACATGTGACCTTAACAAATACTATTAACAACTATCGACTTCCCAGACAGGAGGTCTACTAATATAAAATCCATCATGACCTTTTTAAGGAAAATTTCTTATAGTTCATGACCTTATGGTACATAGTTCAAATGCATTATGTTACAAAGATGTCCCTATCATGTTTTATTTCTTAACAAACACTGTATTTTATTGCTTTAACTTTTTTTACATTAAACTTACAACAATGCTAGCAAATATTTAAAGTCCATCTATAATTTATATTTA